TTTATTATATCAATGACCAGTGGACCCAGTTTACTTGCGAATATTTCGATACTCAACAAATAGACACTGGTCAATACTAAATAATGGAGTAGAACATACGAATTAACGGTAAAGTCATCACTAGTTCGAAGTAAAACTCCATTAATACTATGTGAAATGAATTGACCAACAAAATATTATTCATCAATGAATGACTATTTATGTTTAGTTTTTGTTTGTTGATAAAACCTAAAATGAATACTAATTAATTCTCATGCTCCACTAGACACTGACATGAACAGTATGCATTGGTAAAATACATTGGTTGACTACTCACACATAACATAACTAATGATACAAAAGGATATTATATACTAAAGAATGATAATATCCTTATGTAAAAGTGATTAATGGAAAACAGAAATAGATTTGTTTTATCTTTCCGTGCACATTATACCACAATATGGAAAATGTAATGAATTACCTTTTAATTTACAAATTTAAATGAGGAATTCAGGCTACAATTAAACGCAACTTGATCTCGTTAACGTGGCTGTCTGCTTAGCGACCAATCAGAATGAGGCGGGAATTATTATATCCGCCATCTTTGTAAGCAATGGTAGTCGGCTTTCCTTGTTCTGTGTTTTTTCAGCTATTTCTTTTGTGTAGCCACATAATTTAATGCTTCAGTGTGTTAAAATGCCGCAGTTATTGTAATACTCTAAATGGTGCAAACTCAGCATTGTTTTCTGGGTTTTTGCTGCTGCTACTCAAGTTTACGTACTTCTTCAGGCAATCTGGCTAGTCTTATATTATAAAATTTTAATCTGTTTTGCTTTGAGTATTTTTTCAGATATGGAGAACCGAAGTTAGTTTCTTTTTTATCTAAAATATGTGTTGATGTCGCATGGGACTCTAGCTGTCCAGTTATTTGATAAAAAATACATTATACAATGACAAGTTCTATGATTACATGAACGCAGATATGATCGTTATTACACTGGGCGATACATTAGGTTTACGCGGAAACGTTGCGGATAAATCCATCCGAGAAATACCATTATATAATGAATTCGTTTATTCAGTAAGTGAAATTTCAGTAGCCCCTTCGAATATCTGACTCCAATTGGATTGTGTGATTATTGTTATTGTCTTATACATATCGTTAATCCTTGTATTTAATTATAGACTTAGCTCGCGTTAGTGAATAACGGAATTAAATAAGTCAGATACGAGAATGAAGCTTAGAATGTGTATATTTTGTACAACTGTTGATCAGAACAGACAATCAGAGAAACAGAGCGAAGGAAACGAAACAGATCGGAGAAGGTATATTAGCCAACTCGATTTAACCAAGCATGAATTGATATTTATAGTCGGACAAAAAGAAGTTACAGACATATGATGAGTAAGATAAAAAAGATATATACACATACGCTTACATAAAGTAATAGCCAAGGTTAATAAGCGAATAACTGACAAGGTGAAAATATGACTTGACAAGAATGAATAGATTGATCTGTGTCCAGAGGATAGAATAACCTATATGGGCTTGACATGGTACCATAGCCTTCACAAAATAATGATCCATTTAGATCGAAATAATGAAAATGAAAACATTTCACGTCTCGAAGTAAAAATGGATAGCAGTTATCAATGGAATCCATGACGCGCGTTTCGTCCCGCTTGAGACTCGTTAGATGGGTGTATCTGCGTCTCAGAGTTGTTCACTCTTGGACTCGAACCCAATACCGTTCACTTCAAACGCCATCGCGTTATCCACTTAGCTACTACTGAGTCCCAATAGTCACTTGCTTGTGGAATGGGGTTTGAAAATTAAACTTCTATAAATGTTCATGACAAATACATTTTATAGAAAACTATCTTTAAAGGATCAAAACAAAATAATCAAATTAGGTTACATTATTGATGATATACAGACTAACTAGATTAGAATAGTCAATATTTAGTAAACTTTTCTTTAAATTATTCAATTAAAGATTATCATGATAAAATGGATTGGCGTGTCTATAATTTATGGACGAATCAACCAGGTATAAGATAACAGGTCTCGGATATTCGCGCGAAATTCACTCATCCATCTGGATAAATAGAATTTCGGCATTATAGCTAATTTCAGTTCGTGATGAAAACTCGAAATCTAATTTATAACCCTAACCATCAACTGTAAATCATAATTCTAATTCCTCACACTCATTTATAACTGTCATTTGGTCCTAGCTATCAGGCGGACACTCTCAAGGCCAGTCTAGCGTCGCTCAAAGGTCAACCATAAATGATAATCTCACCAAGGAATTAACATGATTGGATAAAATGATTTCATGGAAAAATCAACCAAAGTAAATAGTTCAGGTGAATTTCTTTCCATGATGATCTAGTAAAAGTATAAAAAAGAATAATTTTTCTTTTAAAGGTTTTGTTTTGAGTGTTTTTCAGTAAGCACTTATCTTTTGATTACTTCACGTAGATTAATCGATCAAATATTGACTTTTATGTTTTGTGATAATAGTTAGTTACAAATTTAATTCATAATAGAGGTTATTTTTGTTGGAGTATCAAGAGATCCAAAACAATTGACCAGTTATCGAAGTTTTATCACAAAGCAGATCAAATACATATGTATCCCTACAAAAAACTTATCCATATATATTCATCAACATAAAAGATGGAAGGAATAGATAAACCATGATGTTATTTATTAATTTAGTGTATTATTTTGTTCGAAGCATTCTATTTGTTTAACATTCTCTTGTATTAATTCAGTGTTATGTTCATTGGGATAGATTCGGTATAACTTTTGTTAGTGAATAATTAGTGCAAATAAATTAATATATAAGTGAGTGCATTCGTCAGTTATTTTTATTCGGATTGTGAAGTGAATCTTGATCTGTCAAAAGTGTTTTTCTTTCATTTCCTTGCATCCATTCATATCCTAGTTCGTGCTTCACAAGTAAAAAAAACCCCAGCCTAAAACAACTGAAATGAATCAGATGACAGAAATGATAACTTTTCTTACAAACTAAAGCCCTTTATGCTATAAGAGATTTCAAGAATTCATAACCCATATTCCATTGATTCGAGTTCTTTTTACAGATTTAGATAATTTTTTAATTGTCAAGTAGGTAATTCAATACTATCATAGTTTAAATCACAGTCTGATCTTAGTCAGACATCCATCGGAAATCATGAAATACTAGGTAGATGTTTTATCTCTGTAAAGAGCACCTCACTAACGCACACCTACGACTAGATCCCACGCGTGAATGCCTAACCTCTAGACAAATTAGCTGGAAGCCAATGATTTGTGTGTCCAACTTCGAACAATTCGCTAGATTATGATGATTTCATCGCTTTTGGTGAGTAACCAATGTAAGTTATAAAAACTTAACAAACTCACTACTAACTAACTTGAAGATAAATTTCAGGAGTTCTGGGTAGAAGCTCTTACCAGTGAAGTTAAATCAGACAATAAAAGATATCAGCACAATATCGTTAATAGATTAATGTTAGGCACACATGCCATTAGCTTCTACGCGTTCGCGCGTGGGATCGAAAATCCTAAATCTTATCGGCAGTGAGGTCGTAGATGTTCACTGCTGAGATGCCCTTTACAGAGATGAAATATCTATCCAGCACTTCGTGATTTTCGATGGATGTCCAACTAAAATCAGTCTGTGATGAAAATTCGAAATCTCTCATTATCAAATCGAAACAATTGCAATAGGCTTTTCTTTAAACCGGATTATATAATCAAATAATAAATGGTTGTCTACTTTTACTCAATGTTCTTAATTAGTATAAGATAATTTCTTTCGCTTGTTGAAAGTGTTAGTTTGATAATAATGATAATAATAATAATAAGCACAGATACGAAGTGACCTCGTATAAACATCATCATACACATATATGCGTACAGTTTTATTAAAACGATTTGACTTCGATATCCATATTCATTGTGTTCAAACATCCTAAGGATTATCTTTCCACACTGACCATTTCCATTTTATCATTTCCTCATCATGTAAACATGTTTACAATGTTTCATCATCTACTCTTTGTGTTCTCCCAAATTCTAATCTTCTGAATTCTTCATGTCCCTTATTTTCTTTTCAAATCCACTTCACTTTATTATACTCCTTGAATAACATCTTCAAGCCCTAATGTTTCCAATTACTGCTTATACTCTTACTACCTCTACCACTACAGAATTTGAGTCGACAACTGCATCTCTGTGCTAATGTGGTATGGCAACTCGAACTGATTTACGTACGTACGAAGTTCTACTTTGTTACTGACTGACTGACATCATTCTACTATTTTACTCCAAAACATCTAGTCACATTGCATAGAACTATCATTGACATTTCTTTTTAATTATCTTGTTAACTGGGTCTATTTACAAAAAGAAAACAAAAAGAAGAAAATTACAACTTTTTTACACTTTGAAAGGTAGTGGTGGGATAATGATGAAATTACCTGGTTAAAATGTCTATTTCTTACATTACAATAATAGTACTTTATAGATTTGGTTACATAACAAATGAATCGTCACAATAGCACACACATAAAAGTCACCTATTTCATATGTGTTTAGATACTAAATATTTTGATAGATAGACATATCATAGAATAAAAGCAATAGTTTATCATTGTGATTGGTTACAAAAGTTATTTTAACTCTAAATGGGACATATTGTATAGTGTTAAATGTATTCATGCATAGTGTACCATAAACTGAGCGATAAATGAACAGATGATTCTATCCATATAATTTTTCCATCTTTACATTTATCATAAGTTTATTATCATTTATTTAGTGATTGTACTACTTATTTATGATTATCACTTGAATCTGTCATATTGTATTCATGAAATGAAATGAACTTGTCATGACATTTATCTAATTTCTATGGTGATTATTATAGTTTTCATATTCAGGATATAACATTAATGAATATTATTACCATAATAATTAAGTAATAAATTAATCCAAATAAGTAATGACCAATTATCGAACAGAATTACGTATACCTGTTGAACGAAATAATAAATCAATAATCAATGATGATTACTTTACATTTGATGATAATTCAATGTTAACATTAAATGACAATTGGAAATATAATAATAGTAATAATATAAATAATTGGGATTCACGTAGTCGTCATACATCAAGTAATGAATATATTTCACATGATATCCCATGGAATAAACGTTTACGTACAACTTCTGCTGATCCTACAAGATATACCAATGTAGATTATCTATATGATGATATGAAACGTAGAATGGAAGAACGTCGTAGACGATGGAATGAAGAATTTAAATTATTGAATAATGATATGCTATTACCTAGTCGATTAAAAAGTTCAAATGATATATTTAGTAGTAGAGAAACAATTAATTCTCCGAATTCACATGATATTATATCAAAAAATCCTTCATCAAGTGGTTATGAACAATTTCCAGATGGAAGTGTACATTTTGTATCAAATTTTAATCTTTCTGGTTATGATCCAGAATTACTTAAAGTATTTGTACGTGATGGTAAATTAATGGTAGTAGCTAAAACTGAACATAATCATTCTACTAACAGTCTTAATACAACTATAAATACAAATAATACAAATAATAATTCTATATCATCTTTTCGTGAATATACTCATTCATTAAATTTACCTCCAGGTGTAGATGATGAAAAACTTTCTGCTGTTTTATCACTTAATGGTGTATTAACTGTTAGTTGTCCTATGAAACCACCATCATTTTCATCATCAACAAATTTACAATCACCATATTCTGAAAATTTATCAGATTCATTTTGGAATAATCATCATCAATATTATCGTCATCATTATCGATCACCAATTATGAAACCACAGCAACAATATTCACGAAAAATTGACTTGAAATCACCTAAATCCAATTATTCTTCACGTTCTTCACATTCAGATTATGATATTATATCACGTGATCAACAAGACTATCAAAGTCGTCATCCTTCTTCCTCAATTCAACTACAACAACAACAACAACAACAACAACAACGAAAACATAGATTTCGTTTAGAACTACCAATTGATTCAGAATATTCACCAGGAGAAATACAAATTAAAACTTTGAATCGTCGCATTTATATTAAAGCACGTCATGAAGAACGAGCTCCTAATCGTACTTCTGTAAGAGAATTTTCTAAAGAATACGACATTCCAGATAATATTGATCCAGAAAGTCTCACTGCTAAATTTAGTAATGGAATATTATATATTGAAGAACCAATTGTTTAAATTATTAATAAACTTAATTCAAATATCAGAAATGATCATAGTGAATTAGTTGTTTGATATAATTTCTCATCTTAATACAATCATGATTACTATTTTACTTTTGTTTACCTATTCTTCGATATTTTGGTCAGTCAATAGAAAGAAGAAGCTAATTAAAATTCTCTGAAACTGTGTATATGATGTTATCACTTAAAAGAGATTTTATAACATATAAGCATATATGATGGTAGTATCATTAGTTTAGTTCTTCCTTATATCATACATGAAAGTGACTGGAATTTCATTTATATGTTGGTTGTTGTTGTTGTCGTCGTCGTTGCTTCTTTTTTTATAGTGTCAAGTTCATATTTTTCTACTTAAATCACATTAAGTCATTATTACTTTTAAGAAATAAATTTATTTTCACATTTTTTTGGATTAATTATAATAGTTAAACTTTATTTCCTTGTTGTTGTTGTGTGTGTGCGTTTTTTTTGTTTTTGGCAGAAAACAAATTATTATCAGAAAGGGGGGTTTTGTAGAGATTTTAGTCATTTTATAGTTGAATTCATGAGTAATTTGAAGCTAGAAAACCATGGAAAACCTGAAAATACTGCACGGCTGATTCGTCCTCCACGATTTCGTCCCGCGATAATCGAATCCAGGACCTATAAGTTTCGCGCGCGAACGCTTAACCTCTACACCAGTGAGTCGGCTGGCATCCAATCGTGTTAATATCTAATTTCAACTAATTTACGAAATTGAGTGACACAACCACCCTTGTCTCCAGTGAGTTACTACCTCACAAGAGACCTGGTTGGACTTCACTTATGACTGCTACTCACTAGAACTCCAGGAAATATCTTTTGAAGCCGGTCACTATTAAGCATATGAGGATAATTATCAGAAGGTGGATTTTTTGGAGATTTCAGTAATTTTATCGTTGAATTCATGAGTCAATTGAAGCTAGATCACCACTGAAAACCTGCAAGCACTGGACGGCCGTTTCGTCTTAGTATGAGACTCCTCAATAGTACGCTTCTATAATACCGCTCCACGAGTTTCGAAACCAAACAAATTAACTAATGAATTAAGAAGAAACAATTTCACAGCAATTCGTACTACTAATATTTTAGCCTAAATAGTGGAGAAAATGTTACATTTTATATTTAATCATAATAATTTCATTCGTTATCTATTTTTATCAGTAACTGTTCACTATTAGATACACTTAAAAGAGAAATGAATAGAATAATTGGAAATTAATAGAATTGATATAATAAAACCAATACAGTATGTCAATCATTGAATAATCAATTATATTTGGAAACAAAAGTAAGGAACGCGCAAATGTAATTTATTTACAGATATGATCATATTACTATTTACAATTAAAACGTATAGAAAAAAAAAACAATATTAATTTAATAGTAGAAGTGAATGTGTACTAAAATAAGATGATTCGAAAAAAAAACGAAGGAATCAAGAAATGATTAGTTCATAGCTATATACTACTCACTTCATCTATATTCAACCAATAACATAATGATAAACAAAAGGATTTTTGAAAAGGGGATTTTGTGGATATTATAGTAATCTGAATAGTTGAGATCATGTGTCAATTCAAGTTAGACAATCATAGAAAACCTGGAAGCACTGGACAGTTGTTTCGTCGTATTTTGGGACTCCTCAGTAGTGTGTGCCAATGATTCCGTCTCGCAAGATTCGAACCCAAGACCTATGAATTCAGCTATAAACTTACTAAAATCTACACAAAATCCACCTTCTGATATTCATCAATATATGCTCACTAGTAACTAGCTTCAAGAGATATTTCCTAGAGTTCTGGCGAGAAGTAGTAACCACTCGAGTTCAAACAGATGTGTTGTGAGATTGATAGCAACTCACTGAAGACAATGGTGGATATGTTACTCAATTTCGTGGGTTAGTTGAAGTTAGATATTAACACGGTTGGATGCCGGCTGACCCAGTGGTGTAGAGTTTAAGCGTTCTCGCACGAGACTGATAGGTCCTGATTTTGAATCTCGTGAGGTGGGATCGTGGATGCGCGCTGCTGAGGCGTTCCGTATTAGAGTGAAACGGTTGTCCAGTACTTCCAGATTTTCCATAGTTGCCTAGCTTCAATCGATTCATGGTCTCAATTAATAAAAGGATTTTTACTGCTTAAGTCCGTCTCGGCTCTTTTTTTTAAAGGATTTTTCATGTTAAATCATTATTTCCCTGTGGTTTAGTCAAAGTGAACACTATTGGTAGATAACATTAACAACTTGTGTATTATCGATTCAAAAGAATAGTTTCACATCTCAAGGCAGTTATATCTTATCACTGCATGCTATTATTATTGTGTATTAAAAGAGCTCTTCTAGGTGTTGATACAGACAATTCTATAGTTTTACATCTATTCTCTACAAAAGGAATCTGGTCACATCTCTTGAAAATAAAGCAAGAAGAGGTCTGCTTAAAGGATACCGTGAAGAAGCGGTTAAAGTTTATTAACGACATACTGAGGGAAATAGGCTATTGGGGAAGTTTCTTAAATAAGTACATGCATGCAAAGAAAAAAAATTGAAAAATGTTGATTGCTCGTAAGAAAACTTTATTCCTAAAACTGAAACTCAAAAGGAATGTGACTAGCGATGTCCTGTATAGTGGATCGACACGGGCAGTTAACAAGACATTATATATATTTGACATGGTTTATTGACAAATGGTTACTAATCCTATTTACATACTTTGTAGATATATGAACAGTGTTAGCTGTTTGTATTCTAAGTCAACAGTATACATTGGTTAAGTTTTCCGTGCAGATTTTCAATATTCTGATTGATTGTTTTCAAAATGCTAGTAAAATGGTTGAATCTTGTGGTTATTATTGTCTCTACAGATGTCTATTCTAAAAGGCAATTTAACATACAGATATTAATGTTCAATCTTCTCGGAGATACTTAGCTAAATTTTCATGGAACTGCTTAGCTCCTATATAACATTAGTTTTTCTAAGGTTATAGCAGATTTCAGTAAAAAACTGAAACAAAATTTTGTACTTGAAAGTAGAAAGAAAATATACATCTTCTTCTATCTTACACTCTTCACTTGACTATGCCTACTTATATATAAATCTGAGTGATCTTAATGAAACAAGAGACCCTAACCTATTGATTTAAAAACGTACAAACACATTATTGAGTTATGATAAAAATATTTTGTTATTATTCGGTTTTGTAGAATTAATAGGCTTCTACAAACCATTGTTTGATGAAGTCGACATACCATAGTCAATATCAAGAAATTATGACCCCATCATGATAGAAATAAGGACCTACAAGCCTCTGAGCAAAAGCTTAACCTTCAGATTATTGAGTTGGCTTTCAATGGTTTATATTTCTAACTTTAGTTAATTTACGATAGAGTGAAAATTAATCATTCATAATTAGTGACATTTGTTTCATATTTGACATGGTTGAACTCCACCGACAATGTTTTCTCATTCAAAATTAGAGAACCAGAAGTAAATAAATTTCCGTTTAAAATAAATAACAAGTTAGCCTTATGCCAATCATATTTAAGAGCTACAGCAAATAAATTTTAGTTGAAATTATTACTTTTGACTGGATTGATAACTAATGCGTAACGTTTGATGGTAGCAAAAATTTCTTGGATGATCGTGACAAGACAAATCAGGGAGATATATGGCTATTGTGATTTCTTGGTTTATTGATTGGATGAGATAAATTAAATGAATATTGTAGTATATTCATTGTGAATAGCTATTATAATAACCATCGTTTTTATGGTTCATTACATTTCTATACTATATAAGTAAATAAAAGTTAAAATGTCGTTCAGAATATAAATTCGTTGTACTTGTCACAACTAAAGATTATACTACTCATATAAGTAACTTGCTTAGACATAATGTTAAGAAATATCTGTAGGTATCCGTAATTGTTACAGACAAACATATAAATATGGTACATACGAACTAACATACTGAACAAAGAACATATACAGTGAATGTTTGAACTTGAAATGAAGCCTTTATTAAAACTACACTGTGATATGAAGGACTTATCTAATAAACTAATGGAATAAGGGCTGAAAGTGTTGAATTTAACATACTTATTGAATCTTGAAATATTGTGTATAATATGGGACATTCCTGTTGTTTGCTTACAACTACTGACAATTAGATTTTACTATTGTATGCACGCTAGTCAAATGGTACAAATTAACCAATAAATTCCTTAAAAAAATTATATATAAACAAGAACCTGTCACGTTTTTCGCCAAGTATTGATTTCTTATGATGCTAGTTTCTTAATTCTATAGGTAATGAAATGTCTTTAATATCTAACTAGAAGTATCTGTTTAAAAAAAACGGGGAATAGTTCAGTGTACTCTGTTGGATATTTTGTATTTTTTTAAAATCATTTCCAGTGGTTTTATACTGTTAAGGTCAACTCACTGTATGTAAACTGAAACAATTACGAAGTAATAAGAGTTTCTATGAATTAAAAATTTAGTTTGATTTATACTGATTTCTTATTATCAGAAGGGTTTTGTGAAGAATGTAGTAGTTTCATAGTTGAGATCATGAGTCAGTTGAAGCTAAACCACCATGGAAAGAGAGTTGTGCCGAAAGGCAAGCAAGCGAACGAGAGCCAGAGCAAGAGCGTGACGAGACCGTGCGAGCGAGTGAGCGATTCAGTTCAATATGAATAAAATGGACATATATATATACCATGTGAAATGAATGAGTAATCGAATCAAATAAGCGGTTAGTAGTGAGACTAGCAGAGTGAATAAATGCGTAGGCCGTAAGCAATATTCAAGCATGCGTATTTCATACAAGCACAAAATAATAATAAGGGTACAATAAATTGTTATAGTGCGGATGGCTTTGTCCGCTAAATAAGTTAGCAAAAGGGCTTAACTGAGTTAAGTGAGAATAAACCCATTTGCACGTGATTCGCTATACACTACGTCTTTCTAAATGTTAAC